CGTCTGTCTGACCATCCTACCGAACGACCAGCCGGTACATATGACGTGCACTGGCAATTTAAAAATAAATGTTGACTCAACACATGGGTGATACATATAAAGCTCTCGCTGGCGCCAATCGCACGCAATGTATGTATCTGAAAACCAACTATTGGCACTTTGTTGTTATATCATGTTTTTGTTTATTAATCAATTTTTCAATCATTGTTTTTATCAATGTTGTTTTTACGTCATGTTTTTGTTATTTTTATATCATGTCTGTTGTTTTTATATCATGTTATTACTAATCAATTTATATGTTATTTTCATATACATTTTGCTAATTTTCTTTCATCTCTGACACTTCTATTATAGAAAAAGGGTGAATAATGATATTAAAATATTTTGTATTTTAATTTTATAATACTATTCTATATATACTATTTTGACATGTAATTTTTGCAGTAGCGTAATTATTGCATGAATCTTTCTTCTAATTAATTTCCTTTCAATGTACACGAATCCGTGCACCAGGCCACTAGTAATATATAAATACTTAGTATATAACTTTTGAAAATGTGGATACTATTAACTTATCTCTAAACAGTACACTAGTACAAGATTTTCAGAAGCTATATTAATAGAATGAAAGTCAACAATAAAATAACATTAAATACAGACTAAGATATTCATCTAAGTAGAAATGTCATACTTTATAAAAATAATATTTATTTGTGATTTCTGTAAAATTAGATTCATACATAAAATAAATGACTTAAACATCTTCTCCCCAAATACCAAGGAACTTTTACATAATTATAAAGAAAAACTTAACAGTAAGAGAGTTGATATTAGGACAAACATGGTAATTGACCGTACCTTCACTACACCTACCATAGGCTAATCAGCGAGATATGCAAATTAACCGCCAACAAAACTAGTAATATATAAATACTTAGTATATAACTTTTGAAAATGTGGATACTATTAACTTATCTCTAAACAGTACACTAGTACAAGATTTTCAGAAGCTATATTAATAGAATGAAAGTCAACAATAAAATAACATTAAATACAGACTAAGATATTCATCTAAGTAGAAATGTCATACTTTACAAAAATAATTTTTATTTGTGATTTCTGTAAAATTAGATTCATACATAAAATAAATGACTTAAACATCTTCTCCCCAAATACCAAGGAACTTTTACATAATTATAAAGAAAAACTTAACAGTAAGAGAGTTATTATACTATAGTACTACAGTACAACTCACACCAATGTGTATTTATTTTTGTAATTTTCATGCCGTTGGGGGGGGGGGAAAGAACCTGTTTTATAAAGCACTGAGAATTCAAGCACCTTTTAAGTATTGAGTGTTTGATTTTGTGTGTTTTAACAGGTAGTTAACTTGGTTGAACACTAACTACAAACTGTTTCTTGAGAGGCTGCTCAAATCTTGATTTACTCTTTTATCCTTAGCTGAAGTCTCTCTCACATACATAGCACAGGAGTCACTCAGAGAGTTGGGCAGAGTCCATGTACAGAATGTCGTGTTCTCCGCCTCCAACTCTCTCCTTTCCGGACATATATCCCTGTGGTTACCCTGAACTCTGTGCTCTGGTTCTGCAGGCCACAAGGACTGTAGAAGTTTCACTGGTGTTTTAGCCACTGTGCATGGTTCAGATTAATACCTGCCTTTACGTTAAACGCCATAAAAATGGGAAACTCACCCTGTACTGGTCCCTTGTCCCAAGTGTCAACTCCCTTTTAGAATCATTTGCATTTGTCCACTCTCCAGTACCTTCAGGTCTTTGTGGGTTTGGTTTGGTTTCTTTGTTTTTGTATTTTGTCTAGAGTTTACAGTTGTTACCTGTGGGAAGGTCAGATATTGTTGGAGTTTACAAGGCCATATAGGAAACAGATGGTTTAAAATGATTTTTCTGTGTGTTGATACAAAGAAATGCAATTGACTTTTGTATATTGACCTGGTATCCAACAACATTCACTCTAAAAATTATTTACTGTTGGAATTGCTTATGTGCTCAACCATTTCATCTGTAAATACGTGTTTTGTTTCTTTTGCAGTTCTTGCACTTTTTGTCTCTTTTTCTTGCTTTACAGCTTTAGCTAGGACTGCTAGCCATTACCAGATTCAGGAAGTTCCTTTCTATTTCTTGTGTGCTAAAATTTAAAAGTATATACATTTGACACTTGAACAATACAGGTTTGAACGACACAGGTCCACTTACCTGCATATTTTTTTTCAATAAATATGCAGTGAGCCCTTTGTATCCCCAGGTTTTTTATCCGCAGTTGGAAATTCATGAATGCAGAGGGCCAACTGTATGCATTGATCTGTGCCATTTTATATGAGGGACTTGAGCATCTATAGATTTTGGTATCTGTAGAGGTCCTGGAACCAATTCCCCACAGATACCAAGGGGCTGTAGTTTTTGAGGTGTCAAAAGTTATATGCCGATATTTGATAGCACACGGTTGGGCACCCTAAACCCCTGCATTGTTCAAGGGTCAACTGTGTATATTTACATATATGTATCTTAGGTTGAGTTCCCTAGAAGCTGAGATGGGGATTCTTGTGTAAATTATTTATAAAAGGACTGCTCTAAAGAGAAACCTGTAAGGGAGTGAGGAAATACGGATAGGGAAAGGAAAGAAATAAGCAATGATTTAGTTTCAGGTGAAATTGAACCTCAACTTGATTCGTTGGCCCTTCAGAGTATAACCCTGCACCAAACAGTCATTGGCTGTTGGCCATGGGGAAGGTGTGTATAACCTTCATGTGTTCTGCACAGATTCAGAAACAGAGACAAAAGGGATGGTTACCAGCTGGAACCAATTCCCCACAGATACCAAGGGGCTGTAGTTTTTGAGGTGTCAAAAGTTATATGCCGATATTTGATAGCACATGGTTGGGCACCCTAAACCCCGCATTGTTCAAAGGTCAACTGTGTATATTTACATATATGTATCTTAGGTTGAGTGCCCTAGAAGCTGAGATGGGGATTCTTGTGTAAATGATTTATAAAAGGACTGCTCTCAAGAGAAACCTGTAAGGGAATGAGGGAATCAGCATAGGGAAAGTAAAGAACTAAGCAATGATTTAGTTTCAGGTGAAATTGAATCTCAACTTGATTCATTGGCCCTTCGGAGTATTAATTGCATAATGGAGTTATAACCCTGCATCAAACAGTCACTGGCTGTTGGCCATGAGGAAGGTGTGTATAACCTTCATGTGTTCTGCACAGATTCAGAAACAGAGACAAAAGGGATGGTTACCAGAAGGGAGAGGGTGGGGAAAAGGGTGAAAAAGGGAAGGGGAATTTAGTCAATAAAATTGTGATAAGTTTACATGGTGACAGATGAGTATTAGAATTAGTGGAGTGATCACATTATAAGATATAAAAATGTTGAATCACTATATTGTACACCTGAAAGCCCTAGAAGCTGAGATGGGGATTCTTGTGTAAATGATTTATAAAAGGACTGCTCTCAAGAGAAACCTGTAAGGGAATGAGGGAATCAGCATAGGGAAAGTAAAGAACTAAGCAATGATTTAGTTTCAGGTGAAATTGAATCTCAACTTGATTCATTGGCCCTTCGGAGTATTAATTGCATAATGGAGTTATAACCCTGCATCAAACAGTCACTGGCTGTTGGCCATGAGGAAGGTGTGTATAACCTTCATGTGTTCTGCACAAACAGATTCAGAAACAGAGACAAAAGGGATGGTTACCAGAAGGGAGGGGATGGAGAGAAGGGTGAAAAAGGGAAGGGGAATTTAGTCAATAAGATTGTGATATGTTTACATGGTGACAGATGAGTATTAGAATTAATGGAGTGACCACATTATAAGGTATAAAAATGTTGAAACCACTATATTGTACACCTGAAACTAATACAACAATGTAAGATTGTATACCAGTAAATAAAAAATAAATTTATCAAACCAAAACCAGAATGCAAGGTTGGTATAATATTCAAAAATCAATCAAGGTTATCCATAACTTTGACAGGTTAAAGAAGAAAAATCATGTACCAATTTCAACAGATGCAAAGTGCCTAATAAAGTTAAACATTTGTTACATAAGATAAAATCTAACAAACAAGGACTATATATAAATTCAGTGTATGTGTGCTAAGATCCTGTTAAGATCCCCCCAGAGATCCGTTTAACTAGTTGGTTGTGTCCATTTCCAGCTACTATAGGTCCTACTGCTATGAGTTCACACATGTGCATCCTTCTCTGGAGAACTGCCCTAGGATGATCAGAGCCAGCTTGTGCAATTCCACTTCTTTCTCTGCCAGCTTATTTCACTTAGCACAATACCCTCTAGATCCCTCCATGTTGTCACAAATGGCAAGATTTCATTCTTTTTGATTGCTGTGTAATATTCCATTGTGTATATGTACTACATCTTCTTTATCCATATATCTATCAACAGACACATAAGTTGCTTCCATATCTTGGCTATTGTAGATTTTGCTGCAATGCACATAGGGGAGTATATATATATTTTTTAATAATGTCTTCTCATTTTCTTTGGATAAATACCCGGAAGTGGAATTGCTTTAAGGTAAGGCCTGAAACCATAAAACTCAAGAAAACATAGCAAGTAAACTATCTAACATCAGTCAGAGTAATATCTTTGTGGACACGTCCCCTCATGTAAGGGAAACAAAATTTAAAAATAAACAAATGGGACTACGTCAAACTAAAAAGTTTCTTCACAGTGAAGGAAACCTTCAACAAAACAAAAAGGCAACCTACTGACTGGGAGAATATATTTGCAAATTATATATTTGATAAGGGATTGATATCAAAATATATAAGAAACTTATACAACTCAATAACCGTGACCTCCTGGTTCATAGGTCGACTCTCAACCACAGAGCCATGCTGGTCGGACTATACATAGTATTTATTGGCTCCTTAGAAAGGCTTCATATTAGGACTCTGCTTGTGATCCTGATTAAGTTTTAATACTTCTTTTTTATAGAATCCCAAAACAAAAGAGCAAATTGAAAATCTGTTACGAAATGGAATGAATAAGGAACTGCGGGATCGTCTTTGTTGCCGAATGACTTTCGGAACTGCAGGACTTCGTTCTGCTATGGGGGCAGGATTTTGTTATATTAATGACCTTACAGTAATACAATCAACACAGGTAAGTCTGTACACTTTTTATCACTCGATGTTTTTTACCGTATAAATTAGGTAGTGCCTTTCTAAAAACAAAAAAAAAACAAAACAGAAAACAAAACCTTCATATCCAGGAAGATACTCTCTTGTAGGTAAATAAAAAAAGAATAAATTCTGATCTTTGATTTATCTTAGAAGGCATTTCTGTATCTTCAAGGTCAAAGACTAAATTTCTCAGTAGGAGTTATTTTGGTTGTCATTGTAACCTTCTTGACAGTGTTACTTTGCATTTGTCTTAAATAGGTGAAATCTTTTGGTTAGCTTTTGTCTTGTGATTTAGCAAGGCTTAAAATGGTCAAAATTCTTTTCTCTAGAGCTATAAGGCAAGAAACAATTTCTTTTGGCTCTTCTAACAAATGAATATTGACATTTCCTATTTAGATTACCCATTTTGGCATATGGCCATTGATACAGGTTAATCAGAGTATTTGGAAAATTTAGTTGAAAATATTTCCCTTGGTTCTTCATATCCATTTGAGAGTTCTTTAAGACAGTGTATGACATGATACCATTTATTTTATTTCTCCCCATTTTATGCAACTTATTTTGGAAACAAGAAACTAATTACTTTTCTTTCCAGTGAATCATTATCATTGCTTCAAGGAACTATACTTGCTTGAAGGCCAAAATGATTTGGCATATACTAAAAATAGATCTGGATTAGAGAAATGTTCAGTAGTCATAATTCTAATTGACCCTGGCAAACAGAAAATCATCTTTAGCCTTGTTCCGAGGGAATGCTCTAAAGCCAAGGGCTAATGCAGGGGGTGGGGATGAAGGGAAGACAACATACATACCACCTCCCCACCCCCATCTCCTCATCTACAGATGCTTCAGTTCAATCTTTTTTTATATATTGGGTTTCCTCGTAAGCTTTCATTGTAAATGGAGACCCCTTGACTTAACAAAATGGGGTGGAGGAGCTGTTTGAAAAACAATTTCTATAGATAAAGTGCAAATTTTTACAAGAGTTGAGTGTGAAGTAGAAAAGTCAGATGGAATCTGATTCTTCAGCCTTAGCCCTTTTCAGAATCTAGGTAGATGGGGATAAGATAAAATGGATTTTTATACCAGAGAATAATAGAATAATATGAGGTTCTGTGAGGTTTTAGGATAGATCATTAGAAATAAATCAGTGGGTGAAACTAGCCAATTTGGGTGTGCATGTGCACACACACACACACACACACACACACAGAAAGTAAGTTGGGAAGAATAATTATTCTTTTTTTAAGATTTTTAAATTGATTTTTAAAGAGAGAGAGGAAAAGAGATGGAGAGAGAGAGAAACATTGATGTGAGAGCAAAGCACGGATTGGCTGCTTCCTGCACGCCCCCTACCAGGGATCGAGCCTGCAACTCAGGCATGTGCCCTGACCCAGAATTGAATCAGCAACCTGCTGCCTCCTGCATGCCCCCTACTGGAGATCAAGCCCATGACCTGAGCATGTGCCCTAACCAGGAATTGAACCGTGACCTCCTGGTTCATAAGTCGATGCTCAACCAGTGAGCTATCATGGGCAGGATAATTATTCTTGAAAGAGCCCTGGAAGAAGAGTCCAGAAGTCACTGGGGCCTCATTTGGTGCTGCCACATAGTTACAACAGTGCCTTCCATGTGGTAGGTCTTTAATTAATGTGTATAACTTAGTTTTAGTTGAATGAATGGCCTTGGGCAAGTCATTAAATGGAGCATCAATCTTATTCTGCTTCCTTTTTGAAGAGATGTTAAAAGATAGACAAAAATAGAAATGATATCTGCATTTCTCTTTTCAGGGTTGTAAGGATTGAGTGTGGCAATATTTGTGAAGGTAGTTTTAAAGAACTTGTTACAATATGAAATACTAGAGGCCTGGTGCACGAATTCATGCATGAGTGGGGTCCGGCTGGCTCACCCCAATCAGGGCCAATCGGGGGCAGGGCCGGCTGGGGGGAGGGGCCCCAGTAGTTTTAAAGAACTTGTAACAATATGAAATACTAGAGGCCTGGTACACGAATTCATGCATGGGTGGGGTCCAGTCGGCCCACCCCAATCAGGGCCAATCGGGGGCAGGGCCGGCTCAGGGGAGGGGCCCCAGGGCTGTTGGCAGGCCAGCCCCGCCCCCTGGTCAAACTCCAGTCGAACTCTTGGTCAAGGGGACAATTTGCATATTACCCTTTTATTATATAGGATTATTTTTAGAAATGAAAGTGTTAATGTTAGCAAATCATTCATAAGATAGTTAAATGGTTTTAGGCATTTTCATGATGTTTTCAATATTAAATACTTCATTTTTTTGTCACCCTTGACTGTTAATAGTCCTAGTTTATAGGATTTTCTTTTCTGTGAGATTTTAAGACCAAGGAATTACAAATGGGATAAGCCATTTTAAGAAATGTTCTAAGGAAAGTTTATGTTGTTGATTAAAAATGTGTCATAAATAGGTGAAATCTTTTGATTAGCTTTCATCTTGTGATTTAGAAAGGCCTAAAATGGTCAAAATTTTGTTCTCTAAGCCTTAAGGCAAGAAACAATTTCTTTTGGCCCTTCTAACAATATTTTTAGCATGTCCCATATTTTTCCCCCTTCGTGTTTTATGTAACGTATTGGGTTTAATATTTACAATTAAGTAAATTAAGATAATTTTTGTGGTATTAAATGTTTCTGGAACTCCGGGAAATAAATGTTTGACATCTCACCTTGGAGGATTGAACAGTATTGTTTCCACTTTGGGGCATAAAGGCAGGAGCCAGATTCCCAGATTCCCATAAACTGCACACTGCCCATAAAAATAATAGATTTTAAATTGTAGAAAAATGCAGGCATTAGTCAGGAGCTAATGTTTTGTGTTTATCTGCTTCAGGGGATGTACAAATACCTGGAGAGATGTTTCTCAGACTTCAAGCAGAGAGGCGTTGTCGTCGGGTATGATACCCGGGGGCAAGTAACTAGCAGCTGCAGCAGCCAGAGGTACAGTGTTCATTGTTTCAGAGATTAATATGGATTGGGGGGAAAACACCTTAATTTTCCCACCAGTAGCAGGATATCTGAATGAGGAAACTGTCAATAAGAAATGTGATCATATGCTAATATTTATTTTAGAGCTGAAATAGAGGCATTTCAAAGATAAGCTTTAGCTTTTACAGAAAGGAGCAACATTTAAAAATATTTAGAGTTAGTATTTAGAACGGCATCTTGCTTATTTTATGATTTTCTATTTTGACCAAGGCACTGGGTAGGAATAATGAGGTAGCTTATATTTTCTCATTGTAGTCCCGTTTGAATAGTTTTAGGGTATTTTTACACATAGATAATCATGATATCTTATTTTTTCAGGGGGTAATTATGCATATTGTGTTTATTAGAGTCTCTTATTTCACTTTTCTCTGTTATTTTTACGTTTTTGGGGTTTATTTCTTAGTAAAAGAGCCATCAAAAGATAAATGAGAAAAAATAAATTAAAATGTCAATTCTCTTTATTGTTAAGCTCCTTTAAAAAAATCTCATTTATTTAACCTTTTTAAGTTAGAGCATGAAGCTTAAATAACCAGTGATTATAGGAATTGGTTATGTTAGGATATCATATATTCAGAATAATTGTAATAGGAAACATTTATTATGGAAGTTAGGTTTCTAGAAAGTATGGTAAGACTAAGTGAAATCTTTTTTCTCTCTCTCTTTTTTTAGGCTTGCTAAACTCACTGCTGCAGTCTTATTGGCTAAAGATGTTCCTGTGTACCTTTTTTCAAGATATGTTCCTACACCTTTTGTAGTAAGTGTGTTATGTTATTAATCTTACAGTTTGCTGCTCTGGAAGAGATTTCTTAAGTCAACCAGGATTCAAATATTTGTCCTGCATGTAGTTGTCAATTAAGTGATATGAGGTGCCAAAAGAAGAATCAAAGGAAAACAGTGTTGCTCTGAATTTATTTTCATTCAACAAGCATGTGCTAAACCAAGTAAGAATTTGATCTGTAACAAACTGACAAATCCAGAGTCATGGTGGAGTATTTTAATACTATTCTTTCAGAAATTGATTTATTAGACAGGCAAAAACAATTAAGGATAGCTTTGAACACACTGTTAGTATGTTTGATCTCTCTCTCTCTCTCTCTCTCTCTCTCTCTCTCTCTCTCTCTCTCTGTAAAAACCCTGTACTTAGTGATGGTAGGATGTTCATTCTTATCAAGCAGGATCATATAGGAAATCTCAACAAATACCAGAGAACTGTTTATTAAACTATAGTCCTGGACCCTAATGCAATAAGATTAGAAGTGGGAAATCCAGTGTTGGAATTTTAAAAACACTTTTATGAAGATATCATAGTGAAGATTAAAAATTACAGGCAATCCTTGCTTTGCATGGTGGCGCAGGACTGTAAAACCATAGAAATCGAGCTAAATCATTAATGGGGAAAATTGTTCTGTAAACTTTAATTTTTTGTCAAAACATAGAAACACTCTTAACCCTTACTTTAAATTTTTTTGTCAAAACATTAAAACATTTGTAAACCTTACTATTGGGTCCCTTTGTACACCATAAGCGTCTATAGACACAAGCGGCGGACCTTCCCCACACGCCGCGCGCGTCTATAGCGGCAAACCTCTACGTGGAAAGGCATTTGGTGTGCTCTTCTGCTAGTATTGGTACAAAACAGCGAAAAGAAACCAAATACATCTGTAAACAATGTAATGTTCCAGTATATTCAAAATACTGTGGCGTGTGGGGATGGTTTCCATTTTGGACACGTGGCAGTTAACTGATTTAAAAACGTATAGGGAAAATAAAAAATAGTAAATCTGTTATTTAGTAACTGTAATTTAAAATATTGAGGACTAAAGTGTTTTATTCCTTTGTAAAATAACTTATTAAGAGTATGACCAGTGCTTGCTTCTTGTCATATCCCTTAACAATATGATGAGCATCTTTTCTATGCCTTAGTGAATTGTCACACTCCTAAGTTTGGATCAGCTTCCCACATTTTATCCTTGGTACTTTCAATATTATGAACTCTCTCTGAGAATTCCTTTTTTTTTTTTTTTGCCAGTATCACTTCCTCTGGGACATCTTCATCCTTTTCATCACAACTATAGCTCTCACTTCAATCCATATGTTCGCCTTCACTAGGCTCTTCTGGTTGTAGATCTAGAGTCTTTTGAATGACAGCAGTGTTATCAACATTCCCAGTTATTTTTTCCTATAATTCCATTGCCATTCCATTCAAATTTCATTTCCACCATTATCACTTTTGTGTTTTTGCTGCATTTTCATCTTTGTTGGCTAGTTCCTTCTTTCAGTTATCCATTTTTGCAAGCTATAGTTAATATAGCATAGTAACTGAAATTTAAACATGTTGTGAGAAGACTAGGATTATTTACCTAAAGCATGGTGCCAGACATTTGTGTGTATTGGAACTGTACAAAGCAAGGACTGCCTGTATTTAAAACTGAGCAACAATAAGTAGCAAAAATTATGGGCTATAACTAAAGCCCTGCTTAAAGGCAAATGTATAGTCTGTGAATAAATTAGGAAAAAAATATTAAAAATGATGAGCTAAGCTATTGTTATTCTAGAATGAAAACAGAATAAATCCAAATAAAGTAAAAGGAAGGGAATAATAAAGCTATAAGGAAAATCAAATAGGAAACAAAGAAAAGAGTACCAACAAAAGAGTAAGTTGGCTCTCTGAAGAAACTAATAAAATAGACAAACCTTTAAGTGTACTCAAGAAAAATAATAAATACAGTAGAGATTAAGAAAAGCACAATATTCTGAATAACATAATGCAAATAAATGTAAAAGCTTAGATGAATTTCCCAATTTCCTATAGTAATTGATACATCAAAACTGTTAAGAAATAGAAAACCTGGCCCTAGCCAGTTTTACTCGGTGGTTAGAGCATTGGCTCGCGAACCGAAGGGTCTCGAGTTTCTACTCTAGTCAAAAGCACGTACCTCAATTGCAGGCTCCATCCCTGGCCGTGCTCAAGGCACCGTTTGAGAGGCAACCAATCAATGTGTCTCTCTCACATTGATGTTTCTCTCTCTCTGTCTCTCCTCCTCCCTTCCACTCTTCTAAAAATCAATAGAAAATATCCGCGGGTGAGGATTAACAAACAAATAAATAAATAAATAAATAGAAATGGAAAACCTTAATAAGTGTCTAACCACTAAAGAAATTAAACTGATATATTTTTTAAATCTTTTCAAATTAAATATGCCAACTCCAGGTGATTTTATAGGCAAGTTTTACCAAATGTTTGAGGAAGAGATAATATCTCTATAAATGGTAACTAGTGATTTACTGGAAATATACTGAGTGGCTCAAAGAATTGAAGGAGTTGTTAAATAATTAGTTCTAATGATTTACAGAAACCAGGAAGGATCCAGAAATTTAGAACATTTTTATAGGATTCTGCCACTGGGTTACCAGTCCCAATTCTATCAATCCCTGTGTGGCCTTCCTCTCCTATTGAAGGTAGATTTGCTCAGCTGGTAGGGAAGGTATTTTTAGCAGTCCCAGATTCACAGCCTTTATCAACATAACCTTGAGTTAAAAGGCAGTCCTCCTTGTGTACCTTCACCAGAGAGGCTTGCGTCATGAACCAGTTTCTGAATTAAATCAAGGGATAAGTTCCTCTGGTCAGTACTGGACCACGTGTCCATCCCTCCATGGCCAGGAGGAGAGAAGTTGGATGTAATGGTAGAGGAGTAGAGGGAACATCCTACAAAGAAAAAGTGAAACTGAACCTCTAGGCATTAACTTTGACAACAAAGATGGTGAGTTAACCTTTATATGATATAGAGGCCACAGAGTATATATACAGATTTCCAATTTTTTTTCCAGATTTTCAAATTGGAAGGCAAGAGACCTATATTCTACCCTTGAATCTCCTCCCTTATGATTGTATAATGTTGGATAAACCTCAGTGTAAAATTTTTTGGATTAGGTGATTTCTAAATTTACTTCCAGCTCTAACATTTTACGATTATATTCATCACTCATATCTCCAGAGTCTAGTGGAGTGTCTGGCATATAGTAGATGCTCATTAAATGTTTGTTAAATGAACAAAGTAATAAAAAACATAGGACTAAGTTAAATGAGACTAGCGGGGGAAAGCCATTCAGCCTAACAGGTGGTTACTGTTGACCTTTTAGAAGTGGGCCCCACCCAATGAACCAGAGTTGATGGTTGAGGTTGTAGGCTATTTATATCTTGATGTCTTTTCCTGTTATTTAGTTATTCTAATGTCACATGTATGAGTAGCCAGGAAATTATGCTGTTGCTGTTTTTTCAGCCATATGCAGTCCAGAAGCTCAAAGCAGTTGCAGGTGTGATGATTACAGCATCTCACAACCGCAAAGAAGATAACGGATACAAGGTAAATCTTGGGCTCCTATTCTTTGCTTATTTACATGTTCCTTTCTTATTTAAATAATAAATGCTGAGTTTATTCTACACTGGGGAGAACTACTAGACATTGGGGACAGGGAGATAAAAACATTGAGGCCAACCCTCAAAGAATGTGTATTCCTAATGGCCCTTATTACTTCTCAACATGTACTATTATAACAAAAAGTCTCTTCATCGGTCTCATTACTTCTATCTTACTGCCCTCAACTTCCCCATTCTGTTCCAGATCCATCCTGGGTTCCATTTCAGAAATATAATCATGTTGTATCTAAATGAATTGGAGTTTGCAGGAAGAGAGCCAGAGTAATAGTACTTGGACATCACTGTCCTCTCCCTCTAACCTTCTACCAGGGCTCCCCATTGGCCACAGGATCCACTTGATGTGTCAGCCTCTATGACAGAAAGTATGGGTGGAGAAGGGTGAAGAGTGGCCATGGAAGGACAAACAGAAAACACACAGCACAATATTGATCCAGTGTTTGGGGCTCCTGGGTGATGAGTCCATGATCTTATATTTGCTTTTCTTCTTGTATGGAAGGTCTTCAGGTACACTGGGGGAAATAAAATTTAATAGTAATACTAACCAGCTAAGTGGGTAGTACTACCAGTCACAGAAGCAAGATTAATTCCGTTTTGGGTATATTAAGTTTGAGGTATTTGGTCAGCCAGGTAGCAATGTCCTATATGCAGTTAGACATAAAGATCTAGGGGAGAAATCTGGACTGAAGTTATGGATTTGGGGGTCACCATATGTATTAGAGTATGTAAGTGTATTTGGAAGTTCTTTACTTCAAATGTTCAACCATATATTGTCTCTGGGATGAGCAGCCCAGAGACAACATATGGTAGAAAAGCAGGTCCAGAGGGGATCTGTACAGAATATCAACTTTAAGGGAAGGGAGGAAGAAGAATTGCTGGAGATAGGAGAAAGGCCAGAAAATTTTGGTGTCACAAAAACAAAAGGGATGAGAGTTGCAAGGAGGGAAAGAAAGGTCAACTGTCAAGAGAGCTAATAACCCAGATCTCCTCTGAGTATCAGACTCCTATTTCCAACTGCCTACTTGATGTCCACTGGGATGCCTAGTAGACATCTCAAAATTACCATAGTGTCTCCAGAACAGAGCTCTTGATTCCCCCGCAACCTGTCACATACACACCTAAATGTGTTCCTCTCAGTCTTCCCATCTCTGTAAATTGATGATACCACTCCTTCACTCCTAACATTTAATCCACTAACAGGTTCTACACATTCTACATCTACAATATATGTTGAATGTGTTTACTTCTGTCCATATCTTCTACCTCCCCCATTCCAAAGCATTGTTGTCTTCTGTCTGAACTACAGCATCCAAGCTGGTCTCTTCCCTTCTTCCATTGTTCTCCCCTGCAGTCCATTCTCTACCAAGTGTCCCGATGATCTTTTAAATATAAACAGGTCATGTTACTTTCTTCCTTAAAATTTTCAGTGGGCCTTAACCGGTTTGGCTCAGTGGATAGAGCATCGGCCTGGGGACTGAAGGGTCCCGGGTTCGATTCCAGTCAAGGGCATGTACCTTGGTTGCGGGCACATCCCCAGTGGGGGAGTGTGCAGGAGGCAGCTGATCGATGTTTCTCTCTCATCGATGTTTCTAACTCTCTGTCCCTCTCCCTTCCTCTCTGTAAAAAAAAATCAATAAGATATATTAAAAAAAATTTTTTTCAGTGGCTTCTCATTCTTCCAATAAAATCCAAACTCCTTACCTGGGGCTTACAGGACTCTGTCTCTGCCTACCTCTTCAACCTCGTTTCATTCATTCCTCTCCTGAGCTCACTACATTCCAGTCACACTATCTTGTCTCTGTTCCTCCAGTTCCTCCAGTATACCCAGCCCTTCTGCGCTTCCGAGGCTTTGTAATTGTTTTTTCCTCTGCTTGGATTGCTCTTCTCCAAATCTTGCAGACTGGCTTGTTTTCATCCTTCAGCTTCCTGCCCAGATGTTTCTTCCTTGACGACCTTCCAGGGTCACCTTATCTCAAGTAGCTTCCCTCAGTGACCTGATCTATCTTGTTTATTTCCTTCATAGAACTTAGCACTATCTCTCATTATCTGCTTTCTTTTCCTTTCCTTTTCTTTTTTAAATGGATTTCAGAGAAAAAGTGAGAGGGAGAGAGATAGAAACATCAACAATGAGAGAGAATCATTGATAGGCTGCCTCCCACCCCCACCCCCACCCCCACCCCTACTGGGGACTGAGCCCACCACCCGGGCATGTGCCCTTGACCAGAATCGAACCCGGGACCCTTCAGTCCTCAGGCCGATGCTCTATCCACTGAGCAAAACCAGCCAGGGCCCTGCTTTCTTTATAATGAATTATCTGTTTGTTTGTTGACATGTATGTTTGACACCCACCCACCCCCATTCCCAATATAATAAGCTCATGCATGGGTGGAGGTATTTAGTCTGTTTTGATATTCATTGTTGTTGAACATATTTGTCACATAGTAAACCTTCAAAGATTTCTTTTTCTTAAAATATAAGCACAAGGTAAAAAATACAAAAGTTAAACAGCCTAAAAAGTTACATAATAAGTATTATCACTCCTAAACCTTTCCCCCAGTACCCCTTTCAGAAGCAAATACTGTTTCCAATTTTAGTTGCCTTCCAGAGATAGTCTATGCATGTGTAATCATATATGCATTTGTCATTCTCTTGTTTTTTTCACAGTACAAAACAGTATGAAACAGTCTTAGAGATAATTCTCTGCATCGAGTCATCAATGATAGATAGATGGATGGATGGATAGATAGATAGATAGATAGATAGATAGATCTGCCTCTTTGATCTTTAAAAACCTAGATAGATGAATCCTAATTTATTTGACTGGTCCTCTGTTGATGAATATTTCATTTGTTTCTGATCTACTTATAAACAGTGCTACAATGAATGTTCTTCTACATATAATCTTTGTTCATATGTGCAAGTAGCTTTATATAGTCAGTATAGAATAGTAGTTTAAGAGTATGGTTTGGGTTTGAAACCTACCTCTGTGACTCAGAA